ATTGGAAGAATTAAGCTTTGAGACAGAAGGAACTTCATTAGAGGCTGAGCAATGGCATAAGCAAACAATCCAGGTATCATCCACACAGCATATTTTCCAGCTTCCTGGGATATTAAGGGGTCTTGACCGATTAATTGAAGAAGCTTTCCCATTGAGGCCCATACAAGCGAGATAGGAAGGCAGACCACTAAAAGAGAGAATATGGCTCTATACGTGTGGATACTTAGCATATGGTACTGTTCCGCTCCATAGGCTTGTCCACATAGAGTTTCTAGACCACTTGCCATCCCTAACTGTAGATTAATTAAATAGTAAGCCAATAATTAGTAGGTTAGTATGAAAAAACAGAACAACATAAAATGCAAGCTTAAAAGAATAAATCAAGCATTGAACAGATACAAAGTAACAGAAATGCATGTTTCATCTTTCAAACTTGAAAATCTCTTCACTACCTGTTATGCTAAACTGTCAAAATGAATAACAGAGGCTACAATCAAATTTGAACAAATAACATTGGTGGCAACAAAAAAAAAATCAAATGCAAGCAGCACTTTGTGGTAGATTGGATAATTTAAAAAGTGTCAGGATCCACTATATGAAGAATCATAAAAAATCCTTAAAAAAATACATGGATCTAGGCGACCATAGTCTGTACCATACTGTGTTGCAAAATGTCCCATGTTTGGCTGTGAAATGTTAATCAACATCAACCCATCTTCAGTAACATACATTCCTTTAACCTTTAGAAGTGAACAAAAAGGTGAATATTAGAAATTACACGCATGTGCACAAGAGTGATCCCTTAGATGAAGTGCAGCTTTACCTGTTGTAGTCCACTGTACTCGATTGAAGTTATTTTAACTCAAGTAGGATTGGTAAAACCAAAATTAACTGGATCAAATGAAATTTCAATTCAGTCCTATGAAAAAGATGCAGATTGTTCACTGTCATAGCATTGCTATCGCAAGTAATCAACCAAACTTGTTTAGAATTCGAACCAATTTTATGGTCTAGAGCAGAATCGATAGGTAAGAGGACTCACCAGTATTGTTAAAATTATCACCTGTTGGATCTAAATCATTCAATCACCTACATAATTACATCCACCAAAATTTATCCATATCATGCCCACACATACTAAGAGGTCGAGAATTAGTGCCAAAATATTGTTATTGATTCGTCGCCGAAATGACCAAGGTTTCAGTCATGAAACCGACCAAGTTGTGTACATTTACCCTCTCTAAATCTTGCACTTGCAAAAGTCTCATGCATTGGGCCACCCTTTATACATACTAAGTTAAGACGTGGTAGATAGAAAGAGAGGTTCTCTGCTTGTCAAAAATCTAAAAAAGCAAAAGAATGAAAAAAAAAATTCCTTCCCTTCATCCTTTCCAAGGTCAGATGGAAGCGACATCAGCATTTTCTGTCTTCATATATTTCTTTTTCAGTAATTCCAACTGATTATTTTTTTTTGCAAAAGCATAATACCTTTGTATATTATGTTCATCCATATAGATGTGTGTCATAATAGATTACTTTCAAACACTTTTAGCAAGATTCAAAACTAGGTATAGGTTAATTAGTTGTTGGTCAGATCTTGTCTAGAAATTCTAAAACATGATACCAGTTATTGTTACTAAATATATTCTCTAGTGTGATAGATATAAAGTTCCAGCAACAGAGGTGCATAATCTGAAACCAATTAGACTTCTTCCTCCTTGACGCTGCTCCATTTGAAATGAAGGAAAACAAAGATCAAGCCCTATCACATGGAAAAGCTTCCGACCAACATTATTCGGACCGAATCGATCGGTCCTCCGCTTTGCTCCGCGTTGGAGGTACAGTTATCCCAAAAGGTGAAACAAAGAAGACGAGAGAGGGATGGGGAGAGGAGGGACGGTGGACATACGAGGAGGCTGAAACCGGTGACGCTGGTGAGGGAGGTGGCGATGGCGGCGCTGGCCAGGTCGAGCTTGCCGAGGTGACCCACCATCATGCTGGAGACCACCTGCACCAGGAACTGCGACATGGTCACCGCTACCATGGGTGCGGCGACGTAGCCCAGCCGCCGCGCCTCCTCCATGAGCTCTCTGCCGCCGTCGCCCCATCCGAGCCTGCTCGCCCATCCCTTTCCTTCCCTTCCTCCACCGCTCTCCGTCGTCAACAGAGACTCTTCCATCTCTCAGCTGCCCTCATCCCGACGCATGAGGTCGTTATAGTACATTAGTCTGTTCTGCTGTTCCTGAGGATGTAGTTTAGCTGAAGTCCTCTTAAAATAATCTACATTTCGATAAGATGTCAGCCAAGCAAATCAAGACATAAATATAACTATGCATTTTGTTATACGTATTATTAGCTTTACATCAATAATTCTTTTTATTATTAAATATTGTGTTTTTCATATAATAGTTGTGATTTCGCTGTTAGCTGCATAATAAATCAGTTATATTATGCATTAATTCTTGAATCCAACTCAAACACTTATTTTCTATGTTCATAATTCCAAATTTATGTTGGCTTAAGCTATATATATATATATATATATATATATATATATATATATATATATATATATTTATGTTGACAAAAAAAATTTATATAAAATCTTAGATATCTTGTATTAATTATTCAATAAGATAGAAAGTTCAATTAAGATATTATTTATAGAGTAAAAATATAATAACTAAGATATTATTCATGTATGATCATTAATTATTTTTATATTAAAAATTATAAAATAATTATAAAATCAATAATATTTTATGAATTATGAGTGTTG